CACGTTTAATAACCCACGTGTGAAGTTATACCTTCATTTCCATTTCGGTCGAATACGATCGTTGGCCCAGAAAATCCATACATGCTATATGGTAACCGCAAGAGTGTGTGCATGCGAATACTTGAACAACATATACCTGGGCTTATGATCAAGGTTATAAGTAGCGATCGTCTCAGGTATTGAATAACGAAGTAGTGGTATAGAAATATATTATATCGATTTGCAACCTTAACGATATCAATATTCGCACGCGCTGTCGCAAAGATCGGCAAAGTCATCTTGAAAAGCATGTAGGTATTATGCGGGCAAAGAAGTTGTTTCCGAGATCGAGGCACGTGACAAAACCGAGTGCAACAATCGGCGGTGATTCATTTGTTCCTTTATGAAAGCCATATATACCTATACATGCCGCGTGGATTTTCTCGGTAAACCTTGCGGGATGTCTTCGCTTGGTTTTTCGAAAAACGCCAAGGCAAAATGAACGAGAGATAGAGATCCGTCCGCCGAGTGATCTCAGCTCGGTGGGCATTTTCATTCCACGCGTATAGCAACGGTAATCGGAAAGGATTGCCATTCTTCTCTTTCTTCGCAGGTGGACGGGACAGACGATCTCTACCGATCATCAATTATTCTTGCATAACCTGTTTACTCGTTTCACAAGGTACAACTCGAGTTGCTCTATGTCCTGACTTTGCCATCGGTTGAATGTAACAATAATATATACGCAGAAATGGAGCCGTTTATTGTTGTATGGATCGTGACGGTACCGTTGTCGCGTGGCCGAGTTACAAGGACCATGATAGGTGAACTGAGAGAAAAAAAATAATAAAAATTATTGAGAGATTTCATCAAAAACTATCATTCCATACAGTAAACCGACAAAAAAGGTGAAAAATTTTATTTGTAACAGTAAAAATTATGATTAGAACGGGAAAGTAAAATTTATTAACCGATCCTTTTAAGGTTAACTGTTCCAGCATGGTAATTTTTACTGTTCTAACCATAATTTTTACAATTCAAACTACAATTTGTACGATTAAAACAATAACATTTACTATTAAAAATAATAATTTTCTCTTTTTTGCTAGCTTGCATCCGATTTACTGTGCGGAATGATAATTTTTGCTGGAATTTTTATTATTTTTTTCTCAATGTGTATACGCATCGGGAGGGCACACGTTGTAGAATATTTATCGGTAAATATTATTAAGTAATTTACTTTCATCGTTACTATATGTACAGTAGATGGACGTGGTTCACTCCGGGCGATTTTCGTCGCAACGACCTTGGGTATGCGATTGCACATTTGAACTAATATTTCACCGAACGATAAGCTCCGAAATATGACGATTTGAAGTTTACTAGGCATAATTAGTGGCGAGTTTGTTGAAGTTGACTCGGCTAAAAAACATTATCGCTGAATTAATGGTATTCGGTTGTCGGTACATTGCCACGCTCAATCGTTTCGAGGTTAAATGAATGTTGAATATACGTAGCATATAATATTATGTGCAATCTCTGCTGTGTTAAGGGTAGATTATATCATACACGTGTTTCTTTCACACCGCTCTAAAAGTGCAGAATTTTCTAAATCTGACAGGTTACATATATATGGTCACAAATTTTTAATGTTTAACATCGTACCATTAAGCTTTTTAAAAACTATACCGCATTTATCTTCTTGGCTGTTCTCCTTCTTCGTGTATGTATCAGCAGCTTTTATTCGTGATGTGAGCCATTTATTGTTATTATTTTTTTTTTTCATTCAGATAATACGATGACGTACAAAAAAATGCTAAACAGAGACGCCTCGTCATTTGTGTACAAATAAAACAGAGAAGAAAGCACGTTATTCTTCATTTCACGAATACATCGAGTTGTCTTGAATACTATTGTATACCTACTTAAATTCTAGAAACGATGAATATCGCGTGGATCTTTTTTGATGGGTCAGGTATTCCTATCTTTTGTGAGTAGGTATATTTTTGTTAAGCAGAAGGTGTTTTTCGAGCCACTACGAAGTCAATGTTAGATAGGAGCAAAGTAGAAAGTGGAAAAATAAGGTAAACCTATACCGTTTTAGAGTGTGTGTATTTATAATACTGTTTTGGTTAAACAGTTAGATTTTCATTGAGCGCTCTCAAGGTATATACGGGATGGTTTTGTAGGCCCCAAACGCGTAAGGAAGTTATTTATTTTTTATTTTTGGTAATATACGAAACTGTTGTTAAAATCCTTTATTTAGATTTATAAGCTCAACCATATTTTATTCCTATTCTATAAGTATACTATTTTTATTGCTGAGTATAAACAAACGGTAATTGAGGATTGAATATTGTTCATCTTCTATTAAACACTATTATCGTGCGTTTGTCAAAAGAAACAATTGGTTAATGACGCGCCGAGTCTCAAAAAAGTATCTGCAAATGTAGCAGTGCAATCAATCACAAAATGACGGTTACAAGGTGTTTGGGAGTCAAAATAAATCACTCGATGTGTATCATTAAAATTACTCAACCACCTGCGGCAAGTACTCAGACGTAAGTCATGCGGTAAATAAAGAAATCGGTGTAACGAGTAAAAAAAAAAAAGTATTGTACATCATGACGTACGTGTAGACTGTATACCTATACCATAAAATTAAAGTAACGCGGGTCCTAGTAATGGGTATATAATTTATTTGTTGCAACGTGCGCACATCCATGTTTTATGCGGACCCGTGATCGGTCGAGATAAAAAAAGGAACCAACACGGAGAGTATAAAGGCGCTATCTCACCCTGAGAGAAGGTGGAATTTCGTCTCCTGTATACTTGGGGGGGGGGGGGGGGCCCCCCCGGGGCCCATGGAAACCAAGCGCACCCACACCTGTAAGAAACCTATCTACACAATACACATTTACATAGGTATCCTACTCAGCTCCAGACGGATTCGCCATCACCTGCGCTCGCAGGTGAGTCCCACCGGCTCTTTCCTATATTATATCCTTTGCTCTCTCCTGCCTCGGGTCTCCTTCTCCGTTCCCTTGCTCGTACATATACGCATCTCCCCGAGCGCCTGCTGTCTCGTTTCCACTGTAAACCTCGGCTCTATAACGTGATGTGTCGTATTTTTTTCATTTAGCACGGGTGGAGACGAGCGAGCGCGGTGGAAAAGGCATGATCGCCAAAAAAAATGGGACCACATGGCTTATCCGGCCCAGCCAGCGCCCAGCACACAAACACATGTACCTATGTATCCTTCCAAGTGGATTTTTATCTTTCGCCTTATATACGTATATACCTACTGGAAAAACGGGAAAGACTATAGATGTTCCGTGTAGGCGTTGGGACGCGCATGTGGGACCACTCGTGCGAAGATTTGGATTTTCTTCCACTCGCGTGAAAAATAGAGTGTGTAAAAACAAGCGTGTAATTTTATTTAAATTTTACTAACGCCACCTAGTGCATTGTTGTTCAAATTATTTTCCAATTATTTTCAAATTTCAACAATTACGAATCTTTCGCGTCCCAGTTTTCCTGGGAAATTAATGATGCAAGAACTTTGAGAAAGAGTATGCGCTATGCATAAATAAATAAAACAAATGTTTTGGGGAAATAAATTAGCCAAGAAATTTTCTATGGCCGTACTTCAATCGCAAAACCAAACAATACACACCGTCTCTTAAACCGTCAACAGTCCTCGGAGAAAGACGATCTATGTGAAACAGCCTTTCCGGAAAAAATTGTATCCATGCATGTAATTACTTATGCAGTTAACTCGTAACTTGTGGATGTATATTACACATATAATTATAGAGATCTTTGCGGGGCTTTTTATACATCTCATCCATATCTTGCTTTGATCCTCTCTTCCATAAAAATGAGAATTAGTTTTTTTCTATAAATCAATATATATATAAAAGAAAAAACATGACAGTCGCTAAAAGACGATGCAGAATGTATTTTATTTTCATGTTTTAATTTGGGATATTTGTAAATTTTTAGATGTGTCTACATTCTATTAATACTGTATGAGACACGATGGAAATCGATACTTGAATTAACAAAAGTTACGGGCTGTCTTTCTATGCCTAGATGCATTAAAAAAAGATAAGCAGTTATTTTTTGTGATAAATTTAATAGTAAAATTAAGCAAACGTTAACAGTCTTATCTATTGAAAAATTTACAAAACTTGGTTAAAAGGGTGATTTTTAAATTTATTGCATAAAACGTTGGATATTCATCCTCAAAAGTTGATGGCCAAACTTTTAGAGGAGAAGTAAAAATGAATAAGTTTCCCAAGTCTCAATCCTTGCCATGGTTTATTTTTTTGAGAATTTAAAAATATGTCATGCAAGTGTCTCGTAAACTGTATATATCGCTTAGTATACGCCAGTACGCACATATGTGTCATGCAACTAAATTTGTTGAAAATGAACGACTTTGTCTCTACATAATGACTAATCTTTATTTTTTATTTCTTAAAATGTTTCAAATTTTGTTTCAGCTGTGAATTAAAAGTTTGAGTATATATACTTTTTTCCTCACTTGATTTTGAAACTTTAAAAATTTTAGTAACCATTAAAATTTACAGTAGTCGAAATTTGTCATTATTTTACGATTCATAGCACAAGAAGTTTAGTCAGCATATCATCTTATTGCAAAAAGTAATTTCTTCACCAAAAGTTTGAAACTTGACATTGATGCTTTCGTCAAGTTAAAGTATTTCTATTTCTCAACTGCTATAGTTAACAGGAAATAGTAAATCATTGAGTGTTATACCACATGTAACGATGCGACTGTACGTTGTACCCCCACTATCGAGTCTTTATACCAATTAGCCGCTATAACTGTTATCAGCAGCTTGAAAATGGATTTTACTTCTCAAATATGTCGCACCTAACTACTAATCAGTATAAACGTAGCTAGCACTGCTGCAGTGCATACGAGGTATATCCTCCAATCTATTCATTTGGGTTCATCAATCTTTTCTATCCTTCAGTTCAGTTTTGGCTTTGCTTTCGGATTTAAAGGCTACAGATGTGTTGAATTATTACTTTGACAAGTGTGCTTTGGTCGATGTAACCTTTTCTTTATTTGGTTCATTTTCCATACTTTTCAACAAAGCAGAAGGTTATTGCGGCTAGCAATAAAAAAAAGGCGTCCAATAAGTGAACAAGGTTCGTATCCTCACATAATACTTTCGTACTTGATTCGTATATAAAATGATTTGACTATTCTGATACTTTTGTGAAAAATTACTCTTACTTGCTTAGTAGCAAAGCCTAAACAAAATAAATTTTTCAATAAATAGACTTATGTAAAGAATGTACTCGAAAAATCATGCGACTGTTTAACGATCGCTGAACGTTGAGAACTGCGAAACTTTAAGTTTGGATTGCGTAAAAAAAATCCCTTCTAGAACTCAGGTGTCTTAAACTTTTGATGTTTGCTTTTGCTGAGCTCACTCAGAAATAATTATTCAATAATATATTGTTGTACATTCAACTATGTAAGGTAATAAAAGCGTGCTTGAATAAAGATGTCGCGTCAGTGTCGAAAACCACGATTGTGATACCGAAGAAAGAGATTTTTGACCGGGAAATATGAAAAAAGATTTTTTTTTTTTTTTTAGATTTAAACATATGAATAACTTTTCACCGGGAAACAAAAAAGTAATATTCTTCGATGCAGTGCTAGAAAGATGGATGACTACATTCCACATGCCAGTTCCAAGTATTACTTGGCAGTTTGCTTTGTTCTTCGTATATAAAAAACGGCTCACATGAGCTTGATCAAGTCTAAACCCTAAAATTGACGTAATATGTCAAATGGAACAAAGTAATCGCCCTCAAACTGGCAAGTTAACTTAAGCGCAATTTTGTATATATGTAATAATTGCCAAGAAACGAGCATTATTTCACGATCGGTTGTGGTTCACTCTTCCTGACACGTCAATCGACTCATTTATTTCATAACGTCACAAAAGTAAAAGAATACGATAGATAGTCTCATCTAGCTTAAAAATCCATTGATATTGATTTTTTTGTACGTCTGTTCGCTTGTAGATAAATCAGAAATAGCAAGAAACCAGGATGTTTGACGTATTTGGCTCGGTGAAGAGCTTTATAGAGCTCGATAAGATTGACACTGACAACATTGTATTCAAGTTGCACTACAAAGCAACATTTGTCATTCTATTGGCCTTTTCGATACTGGTCACCTCGAAACAGTACTTCGGTGACCCCATCGACTGCATAGTCGATGAAATTCCATCGGACGTCATGGACACGTACTGCTGGATCCACTCCACCTTCACGGTGAGACATCTCCATGGAATCCCCGGCAGGAATGTGGTCTCCGAAGGTGTAGGACCAGCTGAAATTGACTCCCAAGCCGATTACCACAAGTACTACCAGTGGGTGTGCTTCGTTCTCTTTTTCCAAGCCATCCTATTCTATGTCCCGCGTTACTTGTGGCAGATGATGGAGGGTGGCAAACTCAAGATGCTCGTGCTCGACATGAACTTACCGGACATGAACTTACCGGACATGACCGACAACGCCAAGGCCAGCAACAGAAAGATCCTCGTCGACTATTTCATTACGAACCTCAATAACCATAACTTTTACGCGTTTCGCTTCTTCTTATGCGAACTTCTGAACTTTATCAATGTTTTCCTGCAGATGCACGTGGTCGACCGTTTTCTGGATGGTGGGTTCAAAGCGTATGGCTCGGTAGCCCTAGATAATTGGGACGTTAAGGACGAAGTGTTCCCAAAACTGACCAAGTGCACTTTCCACAAATACGGCCCCAGCGGTAGTGGAGAAACTTTCGACGGTCTCTGCGTACTCCCGCTGAACATCGTCAACGAGAAGATCTATGTGTTCCTTTGGTTCTGGTTCTGGTTCTTGGTTGTCGTAAATGGCTTGAATTTGATGTATCGCGTGTGCATGATTGTCGTGATTCAATTTCGCGTACTCCTCCTGCGAGCGCGTTCAAGGCTCAACAATAGAAAGGAAATCGAGAAGATCAACTGTAAATGTCAGATCGGCGACTGGTTCATGCTTTACCAACTCGGCAGAAACATTGATCCGCTTATCTACAAGCAGGTGATTACTGATTTAGCGGTCAGGCTTTATGTTACGGAAAGAGTCTAGAATATATAACTAGAGTGTTCTCAATCGATTCAAAGTATTATTTTGTACATACATTTTTAAAGTTTTAACAATTACGTTGTAGTTGCTAATTTTCCTTCCTAGTTATCGTCTTTTGCGTATATTTGAGTAAATTTTTTGAAGCTATCGGTTGAATGTACAACCTGTGTTTGCGTTATTATATTCTTGCGTTCATATACTATAATTGTAAATAAATAACTCAACAATTTAAATGTACAAAAAAGGTAATCGTTTTGGAAACACGCACCAACATAAATCATACATTTAACTGTATCAACAGGAATAACAATTTTATTATGGATGTAGAAATTTGTAATAAAAAATAACGATTTAAAATGACCTACACATTGTTGTGATAATTTTTGTAAACCACTTGTAATTGTTAATTTATAGACAATGCAAAAAATATAATAAATTCCAATCATGTTTCCTTACAGTAAGTTTTAAAGATAAACGTATATTCTGGATTTTTGATGATAGTATCAATACCTCAAACAGATGGTATCGTTCATGAAATATTTTTGGTAAAAAAACCAATGTATTTCCAAACCTCTTGAAGAAAACTTACTTATCAATTGTAAGCCATGTTATGACAAAAAAAAACTAAATTATGAAACATTTTATGTACAAGATCACATCGGTAAAGAAGTTACATGAACAAAAAACTTTCGTAACTGTTACGCGTAATGCCAAAAACCATTCAATCTCATAAGTTTTTATTAAAATTTATCATTTGAGAATTTCCTAATGAGAAATTTTTTATTAGGTAATTCAAAAATATTAAAATTTACAATATTTTTTTGGCCAATGATGTTGAAGTATATATATATCTTTTTTTTTTTTTTTTTTTTTTTTTTTTTTTTTTTTTTTTTTTTTTTTTTTTTTTTTTTTTTTTT